TAGCCAGTCAAATCCATATACAAGCATCAGTCAAAAATTATCCACACTCTGGCTGTAAAATTTACTTTAATCAACTTTTAGAAAAGATAAATACATCATTTTGGGATGTAATCTCCTTGCTTTTCCATACAATTTGTCCATCTGTCAACAAGCTTTTGTATTCCTTTATTTAAAAATGTTCTAGGCTAAGCTGCAAGCCACAAACACACTGCTGTCTCCACTTCTTCATCAGAGGAGAATCTTCGTCCTCAAAGGGCTGCTTTCAGGGAACCAAACAATGTAAGTCTAATGGAGCAAGATCAGGACTATAGGGAGGATGCTTTAACACTTCAAAACAAAGTTTTTGTAGAGTGTCAACAGTGTGGGCAGTGGTGTGTGGATGTGCATTGTTATGCAAGATCACAATGCCCTTGGATAGCAGTCCTCTGTGTTTAATTCAAAGTTTAGGTTTCAGTTCTTCAGTGAGCATCTCACTTTAATGAGCACTGCTGGTTGCTGAATCTTTTTCTTGATAGTGTTCCAATACTGGCCCAGAAAACTGTAAACATCAATTTTCCAGCTGATAGTTGACTGTTGAACTTTTTCTTGGTGAGCGATTGAGAATGTTTCTATTCCACACTCTGCCGTTTACTCTCAGGCTCGTAGTGATGAACTCGTGTCTCAACACCAGTAATGAGTTTTTTTTTAAAACCTTTACCTTCCTTCAAGTATTGGTCCAAATTTTGTTTGTGGATGTCCACATTCACACCTGCACACCAATAACCTTGAACAGAAAGCACTGTTAAAACAAATTTTAATATAGCTGGAGTGCGGATAATTTTTTACTCACCCTCATATATTCATGGATATAATTCCAATTGTTTTCCCACACCCATTCAGCTTGAGTGTCTACCTATGTATCAACTTGTAGATTATCACTGCTGCCATTGTGGGACTAGGTAATAGAATTTACCTTTGTGGCCTTGAACTCTTGTCCTCAGTGTCTTTCTTCACCTTGATCCTTTTGTGATGACCTCCTCCCTCTTATAGTTTCCTTTCACCCCAGTTAGTACGTTGTCTATCCTCTAGTTAGGGATTTAAGCTCCTTTCCCCTCCTACTGCCAATATAGCCTTCAGAGAATGTTTCTTTCTGTGTATAAACTGTGTGTGAGACTTGTCTTGACTTTTGGTAGTTTGTTGTTGTTGTTATGTGCCGTGAAATCGGTTCTGATTCATAGCGACCTTGTACAGGGTTTCCAAGGCTGTAAATCTTTACAGGAGCAGAAAGCCTCACCTTTCTCCCGCGGAAAAGCTGGTAGTTTCGAACTGCTGACTGTGAGATTAGCAGCCTGATTCATAACCACTATGCTACCAGAACCATTCATTATTTGTGCTTTGTGACTAATTTCAGTCAGCATAACATCCTCTAAATTCATCCACGTGATGGGGTGTTTTGCAGATTCACCATTATCCTTTAATGTTGTGTAGTATTCCATTGTGTGTATGTACCATAGTATGTCCATTTATTCGTTGTTGGGTATTTAGGTCATTTCCATCTTTTTGCTACTGTGACTAAAGTTGCAATGAACATGGGTGTGAGCCTTTTGGGTTTTAACTCGCCCTGAAGTTTCACATTCCCCCTACTTGCTCCCTCTTCCCCTACTTCTGACTCTGAGCTCTGAGTTTCCAGAAAGAAGTACCACTGAGCAATTCTCTGGTTCTAATCACACGGAGGAGAGGAGCACCTACTTGAGATACATTTCACTCTACTTTGGTGTCTTAGTAAGCTAACTCCAACTTCTTTCTTTTATCCTATAATTCCTAAAAATTGCTGTCACCGTAACAATAACAATAATAGCTGCTAACATGAATTCAATATTTTCTAAACAAGGAGACTCTTCTAAGTACAACAAACTCTGGAGGGAGATACTATCATCTTCCAGAAACAGGAAAAAAAACCCAAAAAAAACCCCACTAAGCAACTTGCCCAAGGCCATGATGTTGCTGTTATTGCGTGCCATTGTGTTGCTGTTAAAGGCCATCAAGTCAGTTCCAACTCATAGCAAACCTGTATAGGATTTCCCAGGAGCAGCTGATGAGTTTGAACTGCTGACCTTGTGGTTCAAACCGACTTTGAAGTCCAGTGCTTTCTCCTACAGTGCCACACCAGGACTCCACAGAGCTGGTAAAATTGTTTTCCAATACAATTTGGATTATTTTTCTAATGCCCACTTTATCATTCTCAGTGATCTCAGAGAAGTAGGGAAGACAAAGGGATGCGTTAAGTCCATCATCTTGTACTGGAAGTCCAGCATTCTGTTCATTCCATCACAGTGCTGCCCAAAATAAAAAATTAAAATCTTTCAAAGATGCAGGATCTAGAGAAGGAATCTGTTGTTGTTGTTAGGTTTCATTGAGTCAGTTCTGACTCACAGCGACCCTATGTAGGGTTTACAAGGAACAGCCGGTGGGTTTGAACCAATGACCCTGTGGTTAGCAGTTCAGAGTTTCTCCTACAGCACCACAGCAGTGCCAACACCTATTCCTCCTTTAAACACATCCCTTCTGAAAAGTCATCCTGATGGCCACTCCCCCTGACCACCACCCAAATTGAGACTGGTCCCTCTTCTGGGGTCTTGGCGTCAGACTCCCTCATCAGGGCACTTATCACAAAGAATTCCAATTTGTTCTGTAAGTGTCTGTTCATCTCACTGTCAAATATTTATACCATCAATCCTGGGACAGTGACTGGCACATAGGAAGCAATCAAGGAATACTGAAAGAATGAACCAACCAACAAATGAGCTAATAAAGAGAGGTAGGCCTGTTGATGAAATAACCAAAGGCGATGATGGCAAGAAGGACAGAACCTTGGGCCAATACCCACCTTTTGTGGGTAGGAAGCAAAGAAGCCAGTGAAGGAAACAATGAACAAAGAGGCCGGAAGAAAACAACTAGGATTATACAATAAAGAAATCCAAAAGAAGAGAAAATGTTAAGAAGGTTTAAGTGGCCAACAGCATCAAACACTACAAACAAGTCAAGGAAGGTGAGAACTAAGAAAAGGCCACTGATTAAGAGGTCACCCTGATATTGCTAGTGCCACCCCCCCACCCCCCCCCCCCCCCCCCAGCTCACTCTTTCTTTCTCAGCACTGCCAGACACCATCTCTCTCGGTGTTTGAAGCAAGTTAGGGCTTACAAATAATCAATGGTATGAAACTTACCTGTGCTAATCTTTCTTTCCCCTGATTGGAAAAAAAAAAAAAAGAACAATACAGAACATACAAAAGAAAAGAAAACCCCACCATCCAGATAGAACCACCGTTAGTTTACTATTTTCTTTATTTTTATTTTTTAAAAACATAACTGATGACTATATTGAATTCTGTATCTTAATTGGGCAATTTCTTACTTGTGGTTATATTTAGTCAGCCCACATTAGTACTTTCATTGTAAATTACTAAATTAGTAATCTAAATTATAAATGGGGGCGGGGGACTTTTATACCTGCTTGGCCATGTGTGCATAATGGGTTTTCAGCCACATAAAACCAAAGTTAACTTTTAATTTGTATCAATAAAATCATCTACGTTTAAAAGGTTGCACACTACCCTAAGTATACAAACTTGTCTTCACTCATTTTGGCTTGAGTTCATTTTTTTTATGCTCTGGAGTTTGGTTGCTAAAAACTAACTATAGAAACCTATAGCTAAGCACCAGCTATAGAAACATATAGCAGCTTCTAGATTTTTTCCTAGAGTTTTTGTTTTCACTATCTTCAGTCAAAATTAGATATCCTGGCTTATAAATAATTTAGTAAAGTCTACTTGTAAACATTGCTATGAGTCAGAACTGACTTGACGGCACTTAACAACAACAACTTAAAAACATTAAACATGCTTATCTAAAATTTGTTCTATCTATAGTGTGAATCAGAATTTTCAACCCTCTTCTAAGATTTTTTTTTCTGTATGAACTCTGTCTTAGTAGAAAAAATTAAAAAAAATAGAAGGAATGAAATATTTCTAAAAGCAAGAATCGCTAGGTCAAAGGGTGTGAACATTCATAAGGCTTTTGATACATATTGCCAAATTAAATCCAGGAATTATACTTCTATCAATATATGAGTTTAATTTCCCTATATCCTTACTGGGTATTCTCATTTTTAATCTCTGTCAATCTAATAGGTGAAAATGATACGTTATTTTTTTCACTGGCATCTTTATAACATGGTTGCGGTTGTTGTGTGCCATTTAGTTGGTTCCAACGTATAGCAACCCTGCATAGCATTTCTGAAGCTGGAAATCTTTACAGAAGGAGAAGGGCTCATCCTTCTGATGGATTAGAACTGCTGACCTTGAGGTTAGCAGTCCAACATATAACCCACTATGCCACCCACCAGAGCACCATTATAACAGTAGCAAAAATAAATATTTGTTCTAATTTACTGGCAATTCACATTTCTTTCTTTTTTTTAATGAATTGATAATTCATGTCTTTTTAACCTACTTTTCTCCTAACAGTAATTTATTTTTTAAACTATTAAGTTATAAGAGCTCTTTTAATATTCATAATATTAACCATTTTTTTGCAAATATATTTCCATTTAATTTATATCTTATTTATAGTATCTGATATAAATCTTTAATTTTCTATCAATTAATCTTTAATTTCTTTATTAAAATCATTCGTAGAGAATTCTTCTCCACATCTATATTTATACAAAATTATATACTCAATGTTCTTTTGAACTACAGTGAATACTGATACCATTGAGATGAATTACTTCTACCCTCTAACACACTTAAGTGATCCTAACTCCCCCCAATTTATCATTAGAATTCCAACCATGGTCAATATGGAACATAGGTTTATAATTAAGTTCCAGACTTTTCTTACTTCCATTTTAGCTGCTTACACAATTAAAGGAAAACCAAACAGTTGAGTTTGAATGGAGAAAATGTGTTAGCAGTTCCCTCTAACCCGCATGAAGCATAGCGCTCTTGCTATATCACCCACCTCTCAAAAACCTGTTAGGGATCCTTATGATGGGACAGGACTGAATGAAGCGTCTCCTAACTGGGTCCCATCGTATTTTCTTCTTACCTGTTACCACAATTATCAGCAATAAGTCAGACACATACAACACATGGCAAATAATACATAGTTTTGCTATAAAGACAGAAAAACAGGAAACAAAACAATACTTGAATACAGAAAGAAATGATGTAAAGTAGCATTTAACCCTGTTTGGGAAGTCAAAACAAAATCCAACTAATATATAAGCAGTGCTGAGATTTTCTCTTATCCCCCAAAGAATACAAATAATTGTGTGCAATTTTCCTGAATTCTGGTTCAATGGGACATGCACTCAATAATCACCAATGCCATCTTGTGGCAAAAATTCACCAGGAGCTTTAGAACCAGATGAAAAACGATCACATTTTAAAAATGAGTAAATGTCCAAACAAAGAAGCATTGATTAAAACTAATTAGGCCTAACTTAAGCTCCAGCTCTTTTCCAGGCTTAGCACCATTCTTCTCCTAGGCACATGGTTAAGAGGCTAAAGCAATGGGTTGTTGTTGCTGTCAAGCAATAGGAAACAGTCTTTAAATAGAAACCTGGTTGGATCATAATTAAACTTTTAGGATAGCAACCAAATAAAACATTTAGCATTCTAGCACTTCTGCCAAAAAAAAAAAGAAAGAAAGAAAAAGTTCACCTGCCTTCTTAGGAAGAAAATTAGTGCTACATTAAATCCAATTAAAATTATTTCCTTATAAAATACAGTAAAAATGAAATGTATCATAGAATGTTAAATTGAACTGTTTTCATTCTTCCCAAAGTTTTGATAGCTCTCAAAAACAGCTCTTACTAACAACACGAACAATTAACATTTCAAAGTGTTAAAAGTTTACAAAGAGCTTTCATATATTATCTCATTTTATTCTCATACCAGCCCTTTATTCATTCAACAATCATTTTTTAAAGCACCTGCTATGCCTCCAGTCCTAGGCTTTGCCCTAGGGTTGCAAAAGGAGGACCTGACTCCTACCCTCAGTCAGTTCGTAGTCTTATGAGGAAGGCAGATGTGTCAACAGATAATCACATCACAATGAAGTAAATGCTACAACAGAAGCTACAAAATCTCCAAGGAAGGCGTGCTCCTCATATGCCTGAGCCGGGATTCAATCCAGACTCTAAACACAGCCTTCTTTCCACTACACCACACTTACTCTGTGTCTCTAAAGAATCAGTGTCTTTAAAGAATCCTCTAAGTGGAAATTTGTTTGTTGTTTGTTTGTTTAGCAATTGCAAATAGATTCTGATGATCATCAGCAGGGCCTAGGTCGCTTCATGTAGTACTGTGTATAAAGATACACATATTCTATGTAATAGAATACTATTATCTACACAGATTCAATTCCTGGGCAAGGGGAAGAATTACTTATTTGTGAAAAAAGTTTGCCTTTTCATCCTGTGAATCCTTTAAATGAGGGGTTCCCAAATGTTGGGCTACAGGTCACTGCTAGGCTAAGGTGAAGAGTCACTAGTTCAACACAAAATGAAAAAAAAACACAGACAAGATAGCAAATTTCTCAAAAATGCTAAAATGCTCCATTTAAAGGCCTGCTTTTTTCTACAGATTAAAGTTTTGTTATTGAAATATTCAATATTTAAATTAAAATATTCAATATTCAAAAATATTGAAATATTTTATGAAATAATGGGGATAATATACGCTAGTTGATTTTGTTTTTTAATACCCTTTATTGGAAAAATAGAAAAACAGTAAGCCTATATTGGTCCCAAAAATATACATATAAGTTGTGTATACATATATTTTATGGGTTTATCAAATGTTTGGACAACCACTGCTTTAACTAGGATTATTATTTGTTCTGACTCTTAGTCCAACACTGTACTCCATACTGTAAAAGGATACATAGGATGTTAAGAAGCCTCCCTTGCCCTGAAGAAGCTTATATTCTAATTAGGGAGACAAGACAGACACATAAAACAATTAGGCAGCAATACAAGACAGGATATAACAAATGATTAGCTTAAAATTTGACATTTTTAGGTATCAAAAGCATTAAAATGTACATACCCTTTGCCCCAGCTAGTCCACTTCTAGGAATTTATTCCTAAAGAAACAATCGTACATGTACGCAGACATGTGTGCACAAAGAGACTTACTGCGGCATTACTTATAATAGCAAAACATTAAAAACACTTTAAATGTCCAATGGTCCATGGTGCAATGTCCCCCAGGAACTGATTTTATTGCTAAATAAACATACTTAGATATGTTCATATTCTGCACAGCCACAAAAAATTATACACAAGAATATTCACTAACATGAGAAAACAGTCACAAGATATTGCAAGTGAAAAATGCAAACTATGAAAAAGTATTACAGTGTGATACCATTTTTTGTAAAGAAAAAAAGTATGTACATATTCATGAAAAATACAGGAGGGACATACATCAACTTTTAACTGTGGCTGTTTGTGGGTGATTATTATGAGTGATTTTTGTGTGTTTTTCCCTTTAAGCTGGTCTTTATTTGCCGAGCTTTCTCAATGTGTCGGCAGTACTTTTAGACCAGAAGAATAACCATCATATTACTTTAATTAAAAATAAATAAATAAAAGCGAAGATAAAAATATTGGACAGGAACATACCAAAATGTAGACAGTGGTTATTACTGGGGTTTAGGCAACCAGGCCTTCTATGCTGTTCAAATATTCTAGGATGAAATTTTTTTTTTTTCAATGGGTAAGCAGAAAATTATTCTAGAGAAACACTTAATAATTATTGAACCAAAGCTGTAATCAAAAATCATTTTTTATGTATTTTCAGAGCTTCTGGAAACATCTTTGGCCATGTTTCTCGCTCAATAACCAATATAACTCTGTCATAGTATAAACTAATATTCACTCTAAAGAGATTAGTGCCCAAGGTAGGAACTACCTTTGGAACCCGTATTTTCTTCCTTCACCCAAGACACCAGGACTGGCATATCAGTTTAACATCTTTTCAGTTTATTTTTAAAGAAAGATACGCCTTTCCATATCTCATACAAATATATTCTTAGTCTGAAATTTTTGTACATTGACATTTTAATTTTTACATGTGCCAATCTTTATTAGTAATTACTTCTACTCTTCAAAACTTAGACAACAACAACACAACATAACTTCTTCAGAGATTTCATCAAGATTTTCTTTTCTACCAGCTTTAAAATTTTTCTCCTTTTATTATGTTCATTTTACTATAAATTTAACATAGATATTAACTGAATCGTGGTGGTAGGGTAATAATATTGCAAGCTCCCTTCCTTCTCCTCAAAAAGACCCCAAAACACAAAGGCCATTTTGTTAAAACTCCATAATCAAATGGGCTAAACCTGTAGGAATGACTGGCAGACGAAAAGCGGACAGGATCAATTCTAAGAGGAAACCCTGGTCCCTCTACACCCACATTGAGGGATGCTGCACATAGCAAGCAGGAGCTGTCAGGGAGCAAACATGCAAAGGGATGGAAAACACAGAAAGAACCGCAACAATTTACAGCCTAACGGGCTGGCAGTAACACATAAGTTATACAGCAAGTCAGCCCCTCCCACCCATTCACCCATTTGGGTCAGATAAACTATAGAAATGTTTGCTTCCAGGTAAGAATAATAGCTTCAAAAAACACAGTTGTCGCTCCCCAGGTAGGAGCAATGCGCACAGACACTCGGATAAGAGACGGACAGGGCCCTGGGTGGATATTAACATCTAGGAAGAAGAGGGGCCTCTCCCACTGCACAAGCCATTCCTCCCACAACTGATGGAGACGTGCTGTGATGAACAGACTTAACCAGCATTCACAGGAAGGCGAACAAGAAGTCTCCGAGACAAAGACTCCAACAGGAGAAAGAGGCAAACAGAAGACAGCCAAAGAGAGCGCATTCAATTCAAGGGAGCTTCAAAAAGTTGTGTAAAAATGCAATAGAAAGATTAAGGAATTTTCCCACAAACTTTCTGAAGCCCTCTCATAAAATAAAACTTTAGAATAAGTACAATTAATATCCTCAGAGCACTGTAAGATCACATAATATTTGTAAAAACCAAAATCAATTTGGAGTGCTTAGTAGTTACAATTTTGTTCACTGAACAAAACAAACAATACCTAATAGGCTAAGTGTTGTTGCTACTAAATGTTGTGGAGTCAGTTCCAACTCATAGCGACCCTGTATATAGTCTCTGAGGGGCAGCTGGTGGGTTCGAACTGCCAACCTTGCAGTTAGCAGCCCAGTGCTTCTCCTACAGCACCAGGTTGTTATAAATAGGTAAATAGAATATTAAATTAGTAAATTGAAAAATGGAGCCAAGAAATTCATCAGAATGCAGCATGACAGGACAAAGAGAGAGAACGTATTTAAATGTCTTTTACAAGTTAAAAAGAATTCAGCAGTCACTATCTGACTCACAGTGACCCCACAAGGCAGAGTAAAACTACCCCACCGAGTTTCCAAAGCTGAAGCGCTTTACCGGAGCAGACTGCCACATCTATCTCTCACTGAAGAGCTGGGGAGTTCAAACCACCAAGCTTTCAGTTAGCAGATGAGTGCTTTAACCACAGTGCCACCAGGGTTCCTTCTTAAGTGCAAGGCCCCCAGAATTATCAAAACAATCTTGAAAAGGAACTAAGTTGAAAGACTCAACTCCCTGACTCCAAAACTTCCTATAACATTACAGCAAAGGCATACACTGGGGATGCTGTGATTTTGGTTCCAGAACACAACAATAAAGCAAATACCGCAGTAAATCAAGTCACACGAATATTTTGGTTTCCCAGTGCATATAAAAGTTATGATTACACTATCCTGTAGTCTATAAGTATACAAAAGCATTATAAAAAAGTTCTGAAATGAGAATTATACCAAAATGTGATACAAAGTGAACACACATTATTGGAAAAATGGTGCCAACAGACTTGCTCAATGCAGGGTTGCCACAAACCTTTAATGTGTAAGAAACGCAGTGTCTGCAAGGTACAATAAAGCAATGCGTTATCAAATGAGGTGTCAGTACTCAAGACAGTGAGGTACTG